GTGCTACCCTACCTGTGTTTACCTGGAACCGTTGGCAGAACATAACCTTGCAGCCATCCTTCACACAGACTTCTTGGTTTGCTTTCAGCCATTGCAAGAAACGCTCTTCACACATTTTCACTTGTAAACACAGTTACACTAGTGATTTAGGAGTTTTCGGTTTGGAAGGTAGCGTAAACTAACTTGCTGAATACTCAGTTATACTGGAAGTGTGGTATGGTTGTCTCTTGAAATCATGAGCTGGAATCAATAATGCGTTAGGACTAGTATTAAACTTCTTCTTTACAAATGGGACTTTTTGTCCGTTAATTCCTTTAGACAGCTTTTGTGTTGTGTGTTTTTGTTTTTTTCCCTCAACATTTGTCAGGTTGATATGGAGAGAAAGATAAAATTCAAAAGGAAAAAAAAAAAAAAAACAAACAACCCCACGGTCTTATTTATTTATTCTCTTCCTGTAAGACCTATTTTTTAGGTCAGGTGGAGGTGGGGATCTAAGTGGCAGGTACGATGGCCCTTCCCCGCAAAAGGGGAATCTGGCAAATCCAGGTATCACAAATCCCCTCCCGCCCCCAGCCCTCCCCCTGTGTATCACCAGCAGGAGCGCTAATGTATAATACAACAACAAAACAAAACAAAACAAAATTATGGTGCTATTCTTGTAAAACAAGTCTGTATTTTTTAACATCAGTTGATATAAAAAAAAAAAAGAAAAAAAAACTTTTGGTGGAAAGTACAAGGCCGTCTGGGCTTGGTTTTTGTTGCGCTGTTTGCTGCGGTCCGGTTCTTTTTTTCTTCATTTCTCAGTCACGATAAAGGAAGGTTTTGGGTGAAATTTCTGATTTTTCTGGGTTGAGGCTATCTCATGTTAAGGGGGAAAAAAAAAACTCGAATAAATCGCCAAAAAAAAAAGTGAGGGGAAAACCATTTTAAGTGAAAAATCTTGAAACGCCAGGAACCAACACAGCAGCCACGAGGTTTCCGTGACGGGATCTCTTGTCCCATTTGCACCCCAAAACAACTGGGGCCAGGGGAGGCGAGTGCTCAGGACACCAGTTAAAGAAAACCAGTAAAACCAGTGGAGAGGGGGACGCCGAGCCCAATCCTCACACAAATCAGTATGACCACAGCCGGGGGCTGCCCTCCACTCCTCCTCCCCATGGAATTGTGAGTGTAAAAAAAAAAAAAAATTTCAGGAGAGTTTTTGCACACGCTGACGTCTTGTAAAGCAGCTGCACCTTTATGGTTTCATAAAAAGTTACATATGTAAATTCTTCTCTTAAACAGGCTTGCTAATTAGAGGAAAAGCCTCAGTAGTGGATTATATATATATTTTTTTTTATATTTTCTTAAAGAAAATGAGCCCACTGACCCCACAAGAGTTACAAGTGTGCTTGAACTTTGCGTGCAGGAGGCAACAGGCAGCTGCTGACTGGGGAGTTTACGAGTTTCATGACAGTGCTTTTGTTAAAAACCTCAGCTTTCGGGGTCCGTTGATAGCACGGGCACTGCAGTTTTTCATTAAGAGAAATTATGACTTTAAAGGAGTAAAAAAAAAAAAAAAAAAAAAAAAAGCTACTTTGGGGCCCTCAATCTCAATTTTAAACACTCACAGCTGGCAACGCAGCAGCAACGGCTCCTGCTAAAGCACCTGAGGCAGCTTCCACGGGGCTGGGAAACTTAAAAAAAAAAAAGAAATAACAAAAAACCCCAACCATTGGCAGAAGAAATTCATTAAAAAGGATTGGAGGATTAAGAAGGATTTTCAAAATAAAATGCCCTTTGAAAGGCCAAGTGCTTTGCCACATGACCCGGAGGGCATCCCTAATTATTAGTGCCCTGGCTCACCGCACAACTCATTTGGGGCAAAGCTGCTGAGGTTCCTGCTGTGGGCACCCCCCAGAGCCCCCCCAGAATCACCCAGTTAGAAGCAACCCCCCCCCAGCAGGCTGCTCTGGAGGAGAGGAGAGCGTGGGTGATGCCTGGGGCTGCAGACAACGGAATTTTGGGGAGTGTGTGGGGGGAAGTTGTGTCACCCCACAAAGAGAAAGCAGGAGGACAGATGGGTAAAGAGCAAAGTTTTTAAGGAAGATGAGGAAATAGCCAAAAAGAAAGTTCAACTCATCATAAATCAGGGGGTTTACGTAAATTCGTGTGAGATGCTCGTGACAAGAGATTACCAGGGAGGGGGCAGGGTGAGGGTCACTGGGGAAGGGAGGCGCTTTGTCACTCACTGGTTGAATTTTTGGTCTTTGTTCCCCAAAAATCATCAGTAAAAAAAAAGGGGCACTCTGGGGAAAAAAAAAAAAAAAAAAAAAAAGATAGCATGATACCAGTCACGACCCAGGACAAGATTTGACTTCCATGAGGGAAAGCCAGAGCTTTTCTACAAACAAAGGACACGGCCCATTAACATACAACGTGGCTTTAATAAGTAGAATTTAGTGCGAGGAACCGCGCTAGGGCAGAAGTGCCACTTCTTAAAAAAAACCAAACAAACAAACACAAAAACAAAACAGCAAGGGATGTTTTCACCTCACACTCACACAAAATAAAGCATCCTTCACTGAAAAACCCTGTCATCCATGTCCCTCGCAGCCTTCACCTGGGCTTTGTTTCCACACACACTCACCCCGAGGAAACAAGGGCAGCAGCAACCATTGAATTCCCAGAAAAACTACAAAGGGGCAGAAGAAGAATGAAATCCTCCAAGCTGGAAAAAAAAAGATAAAATCGGCAGCAAGAGTCACATCAGGTTGAGTTTTCACATTTATTTAAGAACAGAGTGGATAGCATCCGTGGGGAAGGGGCAGCTCCCGGGAGCGAAGCCTTTGAAACGCCCAACTCCCACCAAAAATCAGTTTAAATCCGCGTTTGTTTGCTGCAGGCGCAAGTACAAAGCCACGCCGAGCTACAAATTCCCCAGTTTCAAACCCCAGAGATGCTGCAGCTGGTGAATGTGGGGGGGAGGAAGGCTCCGAGCCACACGTGGAGGAGGAGGAAGGTTTAATTCACACGGACCCTTCACGCATCCCCAGCAGCGCTGCACTTACTGAGGCTGTCTTCAAAAAAAAAACAAACCAAAAAACAAAAAAAACACCCCAGTGGTTTGGTGCTGGTTTGCTGTAGGTGGCCTCAGCTGCCAGCAAACAAATCCTGCACAACAGAAAAAAGGGTGTTTCAAGGGTTTTTGATTCCTTGTCCTCCTTCTGGGAGAAGTTACAGAGGTGGGAGCCTGCGGCTGAGGGTTCCCTACCAGAACCATCCTTTTGGAGCAAGATCAGCGCTGAAACGAGCCGGTGACGTGCTGCCACTGAACAAAAGTGGAATAAATTAATTGCACGGGACTAATTAGTTGAAGCTGAAAGGACCCGATACAGCACTAAGCTTCAAAACAGCCTAAAAAGTCAACTCTAAATCTCTGGGACCTTCAGACCCCACTGCACGAAGCGCGAGGCTGTTTTCCCTACCAAAAATTAATTCTTCGGAATCGAAGAGGAAGGCAGGGCCAGCACGACCCCGACTTTGGGAAGGGACCTGTTTGCTTGCACACGAACAAACACACAAACACCCCGAGAGGGTTTTGTGAACAGCAGCACAGCCCGGCTGCACGTGGAAGGGCACAGAAAGGACCCAAAGCTTTCAAATATCTCCCCAAGTCACTCGCCATCCCTCTGCTTCCAGTTGAAAAGTCCCTGGTCCCTTCTAGAAATCCATCTGCACGAGGAAAACAGTGGTGGCCTCAGGGCTTGGTCTCAGCTTTGGCCGCGCCCCGTGCTGAGCGGGACAGGGCAGGCAGCGGGTCCTGGGCAGCTGTGGAGTTGGAACTGCAGTCCACGTAGTGGTACGTTTCCAGAGCGCTCTGCGTCACGTGGCCGATGTAGGAGAACTTCACCGACGTCCTGGGAGAGGGGCGGGGGGGGGAAAAAAGAGAGGTTCAGTGTGGACAGGACCTGCAGCAGAATGGCTTTATCAAAATAATTATAAAAAAAAACCAAAACCGCTGAGGTTGGGTTTTACACTCATCACATAACTCTGCTTCCCCCTCGAAAGCTGCAGATTCACTGATTTTCGCTCGCTGTGGTGAGCTCTGGGCACGCCCCCCCCGCCCGTGAGAGCCCAGCGGGGAGCTGTCGGGTGTCTCCTCTGTCTTACATTTCACCCAACTGTGTCAACTGGCCTGGATGAAAAAGCTGACACAGTGAAGCAGGCCGGGGTGTTTGCCAAGCGGGATTTCCCTCGCGGATCCCAGATCTGCTGCGGCAGCGGTTCCCTTTTGAGTCAGGAGCTGAGCAGAGAACCACCTACCTCATGAAGATGACGATGTTATGTACCTTCACCTTGGGAAACGTGCAGAAGAAACTGGAAGGGACAGAAACAAAGAAGTAGGTCAGGACGGGCTAAGCAGGGCTGCAGAGGCACTTGTTTCTCGGGATCTTCTGATGATATTTTCCCTTTGGTGTTAACCCAGCTCAAGCCACGATCCAAAAACCACATCCCAACATCCCAACAAAGCAGCCTTTCAAGTCATTTCTAACAAACAGTTACTTTCCAGGAAATTAGAAGAAAACAAAGTCGTTTCCAGAGCAAGTTGTAACAAAAGCAGCTTAAACCCACGCTCTTCCCCAGCTACGTGCAGCGAGTAGTAAATCCTTACTACACATAGGAGAAGGGTCCACCCAGCTCTGCCTTCACAGTGAAATTCACCTGTAAAAGATAAAAGAAAAAATACATTCACATGCAGCTTGAGAACTCGTTTCTGTCCATCCCTTCCAGAGCCTTCCCTACTTGCTGTTGCCTTTCAGCAAAAGCACAGGCTACAAAGCAAAGCTGTAAGGTACACAAAGCTTTTGACACTCGCGCAGGTTTCGCCCTCGATTTGGTCATGTTTATAATCAAGGGCAATGAAAGGTAGATACCAGTTTGTCGCTCAGAGGCTGGATGCTGGAGACGTTGGTGATCTGCTGGGTTCCCACCACGGTGTTCATGTACTGCACCTGACTAGTCAGGCTGGTCACCGTCACCGAGTAGAAGTTGGAGTTCCTGATGCGTAACGTGGCCTGGATGGAGAGGAGGGGGGAGGACACATGAGTAGCAGTGACCTTTCCTGGCAGCTCAGCACAGAGTTTATTCTCTCAGGAACACAGACACACAAAAAATTTTACCGTGATGGCAAGAATGACAACGGAGTTCTTCTTGTCGAACCAAACCTGAACCACTTTAATACCATCATCATCCACCAGGACAGAGTGCGGGAATAGGAAGAAAATCACCAGCCCCGATACCAGGAGGCAGAGCAGCACCGACAGCAGGACGTAGAGCTTCCTGGAAGAGGCAGGAAAGGGGTCACCTCATTCACCCTAACACAGCGTTTGCAGGAGACTTTGTATCTGAAACCCAACCCAGCCAGTAAACAACATGTATTTGTTCTTCCCCAGAAGAGACACAGAAGTGCTGCTCTAACATTTTCGGTATCTGAAATCACTCACAGGCGTCACCCTTTAAGCAATTTATTTTTTTAGTAATGAGTAACCAAAGAATCATTTTTGCCCCCGTAGGGTTTTCACAGTCTAGTGTTGGTAAGACAGTTTCTTTCTAAAAAAGTTCAGTAAAGGGAGCGGGGATGAAGCGTGTGAGTAGGATCATTGTTTCCACGTTCACTCCACAGTGGGATTTCACAGGAAGTATTTAAATTTACACTTTAAATTGTATTTGTTGGCAGGCTTGGATGAAAAAACCCACTAGATGAAGGAGAGGCTGCGGGGTTTAATTGCAGCAGTACAAGACAAAAGAGCCCTGTTTGCTCTTTGCAAAGATGTAATTACTGTCTCGGTACACACTTACGTTCTCTGTGGACGAAGCCGCTGGTCACTGTAGGGTATCAGAGCCACCAACTCATTTACCTGCTCTGGAAAGCAGAAGGAACACGTTAAATCCCATATGCATGCTCATGTAAATAAGCAACGCTTTCTTTTTGTATTTAAACCCGAGAGGAGCAGTCACCTGTGGGAATGCAGCCGGTGCCTTGGCAAGTGGGACAGGTGATGCTGTCCTGACCCGTGAATTCGACATATGGAAACTTGGCAATGTCTTCCACACGGTCTCGGCTATCGAGTAAGTCGTCATCGTCATCCTCAGGCTTCTTGCTCTGCCTTGAGGTGGAGTTATTGACAGAGAGGGAAAGCACAGAACCCATGGCTGCTGCGGGGGAAGAGCCGCATAATCTAGGAGAGAGGCAGCAAGAGCAGCCCTGGTCATTGAACAGGCTCACACCTGCTCCGGGCCAAGAAGAAAACCTGACCCTGAACTCAGGTGTGAAGGGAACAACCGCCCCCTCCAGAGAGCCATCCCCAACACCCCCTAGAGAAACACCTCCACAGCGAGACACTCTCCTGGGGGTCCAGCACCCACCACAGAGCGCCTCCCCCCATCCTCCAGAGGTGACTCCCACGCCAAGGGACCCCCTGCTTCGGGACACCTCGATGGAGGGTTGTTTCCAGACAGCCCCTTAAACAGAGACACCCCCCCCACAACCTCCACAGCTGTC